AACAATTATCTCTTCTAGTTACGACCTTTGTACTCAGTTGCTGCTTGACAAAAGTTGCTAAACCTATTAAAATTTTGCATTTGGAGAATATGAAACAAATTTTAGATTTTAATTATACAGTTGAAAAACCAAAAAATCATAAATTAGTATATACATACCATAGAATTCCCCTATAATTTATCAAGCTTAGTAACTAAGCTGTATTTGGGCTTAAAAAATATGAAATTTTGAGCAGACTAAACACACAACCTACCTCCTTGAAAATGGCTGAGAATGCCACTAGAAGCACATTCTGAGCTTTCGACTGGTTATTCACATGTCATATATTGAAGTAAGTGTATATAAGGGACAGTTTCAAAAAATGGAAAAGGTGAGTGGGGCTACTGTGTTTGATTCAGTACATAAGTGATATCCCAGCAAATAGAAAAGGTATGAGGTTCTTATTTTATATTCTAGCTTGTCAATATTGGTAGTTTGAGTTCCTAATTCGTACAAAACTATACTTTGCATTTGGACATCACAAACATATAATTTGAACCAGTGTTGCATTCAACATACCACATGACACAAAAAAATTGATGTTTGTGTTTTTTAATATTTATTTTTAAATTAAGAAATTAACTAATGTATAATACTAAAATTTGAATTATAATCTACAGTTTGATACCAAACTTATTAACCTAAGGTCATGAAATAGTAGTGCAATAACATTTTGAAGGCGAGTCAACAAATGCGATGACATGGCATTTGACTTGTGACTATTTTGGAGAGAGTTAATGCTTATCACTTTGTTAATAAAGTACCTTGTACTAAAAGTTGCCTCGAAAATATTTTGAATGTGTGTTGCTGCTGTTGATTATAACAGTGCCCAGATAGTAAACCTTTTGCCAGTGGAATAGCATTTTACTTCTTTAATTTTTCGTATATACAAATACTTCCTACGTAATATTATTTTGTTATGAAATTTGTTACACTGCAGCGATGATGCACTATTTTCTCTTCTTCAAATTGTATTGAACAAACTTTAATGGTTGTTGACTGCAAATGTGGCTAAAGTTTATCTCATATAATTCTTATTTACAGATCTCAAGAAGTCATGTCCTCCACCACGCAGAACAAGATTAGCACTTGCATCCCAGTCTGAAAAGCGAAGAAAAAGTGCTCGATAGAAATTACAATTCATCCAGTTCAATTCCATAACCTTTTATAATTCATCATTTTTGTTTATTATTTCAGATAGATAAAATATGTTCTTAAATGTATTATAATTATTATTTTCTTTAATTCTAGCTGATAAATATTTTTGCATTAGTAAATTTGTTTTTTTGTTAAAAATAACAGTATCATATGCTCATATTAGATTAGCAAACATCAAAAATTTTCAGACTTAACTCAAAGATGCCATTGTTGCCACTTTTTTAAATGTAAAACTTCTTTAAAACTAGATATAACAAGAAAACTAATAGTAGCTATTAAAAATTCTCTGTATAAACCTTATCAAAATAGCAGCCAAGAACAACGTTAGAAATATTTTATCAAAATAGCAATCATTAGAATTTTTTCAGATTTGTGAAGGCAACTGTGAAGAGGAATTCTTCAATCTAGGCATTAACCAATAGTCATCCTCTTATGTTAATTCTTATCTTTAGAAGCAATCAAATGAAATATATCAATAAATATTATTTAATTACATGCACAAGTTAAAGGTACTACTACTGAACTTGTAAAGATAAACTTTTGACTGATGATGAAATTTCATAACGATGGTATTTGAATACTACTTTATTTTTCATACTTGTGCAACAGGATGCCATGAAGGTTAATCATTTGGAGTTTGACTTTAATTCCAGTTACAAATACATTTATTTTATATCCATGTATACAGTGCGAGTGGAGTACACAAGTCACCAATTTGAGGAAGCTTACTATTAGAATAAAGAATTGACTGAGAGACAAGTTCCAAAACACAAACAACACTTTAATTCAATATACTAAGATACTCAGCTAATTGAGATTATCGAAATTACTAAATTCTTCAGTGTGAGCAAGTTCTTGTTCATTAATCAAACCATCAATAATATTATAATTAATAAACTACCAATTAAAACAGTACGAGGAATGTACTCAGACATACATTAATTTATAAATTCTTTATATTACTATTAATTTTACATTAGTTCATTATTCGATGGAGAGAGGTAGCAATAATTACTTACATGGAGTTTCTATGTTGAAGTTCTTGATGTTTTTGAGTGCAGACGTCTTTGTGAGTGATGACGTTGGAGACACTGTTGGATCTGGAATCACTTGACAACAGGAACTGCAGCCTATTGTGGTTGAAGAACTCTTTTTTTTTTTAGCTCAAAACGGGTTTTATACAGATTTCTTTGTATTCTGATGCCTCTCCAATTAGTATACACATTTAACTTGCAAGTAGATCTATCACTTCATTGGATGAATTTTGTTGACTCATCATAATTCTTGGAACTAGAACCAAAACTGAATAGTAATTGGTAATGATCAAAAGAGGTAAATCGGTGGCCTGTTTGCATGTATCTCTACTTGTCTTCCTTCGATCAAAGTTCCACCACTGGTCTCTGATTTTCTTTCCAAGTCTTTTTATGTATTATTTCTTGCCTTTAACAAAGCTAACATAAACTTTCTCGTAGCTTTCTTTCAGCAACAGTTGTTTCTGTTTATGTAGATAAGATAAACAGTTGGTTCACAATACCACTTGGAATGCATCTTAGTTTTACTTGACATATACATTTCCTTTTTTTGGTCAAGTGTCATTATGTAACTTCTCTTATGCATTTGCTAATGTGCACATCTTTTCCTTCATATTACATTTATGTATGTCATACATGGAATTTTATAAAATTATTTTTTCTGCGCCTTGACATCAGGAACTTCAGCCTATTTTAAGATCATGGATGAAGTTCAGTCATTCATTTTTTATGATTGAATATCCCCATGTTAGAGATATTGTATATTATTTTCTTATCTCTCAGAAAATGGAAAACCTGTATTTGTATGGAAACTGGAAAATTATCACTGATGACCAACAAATAATTCGTTTACTTTGCAAAATCTCACTAAAAAGTATCAAAGAAGTAACAATGTCACAGAATTATCAGGTCACATAATATAGTGCTATAATATAGTTGTAATGAAGATATTATTGATTACTGTTATTAACAGAGACCTGCAAAACATTTGCAGTCAAATTAGTATCTTTATTGCAACAGTACTTCTGTAAATACAGGATTTCTAAAATAATATGAAAGAATTCTAATTGCAGACATTGAAATCTATTTGTCCACTTCTCTTAGGCCCAACATTACTTAAGCCTTTAGTAAGTATGGACTGCATTCAATAAAAGAGATAAATTAACACTGTAATCTGTGTATGTTTTTTGCTTTAGTTTAATTAACAGCTAAACTTTACTGTACTTAATACTATCAATAAATGAATTTATAATATTCCACGACCTAAAATTAGACCTTTTTCAAAACTTTAAGCTCTTAATATGTTGTACAAAATATTTACTAAGTTATATTAACATCTGTTGTAATGAATTTTACATGCATGCATATTTAGATAGTAAGGTGTGCATCATTTGCAGGACAAATAAAAACTGAGTATTATTTTAATATACTTTCAATGATAAAGTAGAGAATCCTTACATGTATGTTGAAATTACCAATTAATTTGTTTTCTTGTGTTAATTTTGAGGAAAAATATTTTTCTATAAATTGGTTCACTTTCAACTATTTTCTGATATATAGCCCCCCGCCCCCTCCATGAAGCATACTACTGGGCATATTGGTTAGTATCTGTCCATAAATGATATTTCAATATAGTATGAATGGATATTGACCAAATTCACACAACAGGTACAACATACAAAATTCTAGACCTGATTAAGTTTTTTAAGATCATAATGAAGTTGAAAGTCATACACTATTTATGATTGAATATCCCTACGTTAGAGATATTGTATATTATTTTCTTATCTCTCAGAAAATGGAAAATTGTTACTGATGACCTTCAAATAATTCGTGAACTTGGCAAAGTCTCACTAAAAAAATATTGAAGAAATAACAATGTCACATAGGGAAAATGTGAAAATGTTGTACACCAAACATCAAATGATTTTATCGGTGTTCTTTCTCAAAAGAGCCAGAACTCTACTACTAAAATACTTCATGCCATGGAGAAATGAATCACTATCACAAAAATTAAAAGAAAAAATTTATAATAATATTTCTTTCAAGTACTGATTTGGTGGATGATGTAATTGAAGATTACCAAACAAATGAACTTCCAATTCGTGTTTATGATCAACTTTCACTTGAAAAAAGGACATCAAGATGCAGATATGTTGAAGAAGGTGCAGTACTTGATGATGAACATGCTATCCTAAATCCAGATAGTCGTAGCAATCGTAACTGATTTCTAGTACTTTAACTGATACTGGAAATTCTTAATCACTTGAAGTACAGATATTTTAATCTATTAATTTAGCACTTACTTAATTGTTGTCACAATTCAACAATGGAAAGAAATATGCTTTTGTAACCAAATGTGCTGATATAGAGAAGACACTCTTAATAAGGAAACAAATAGAACATGGACAAGATCTCACTCGCATCCACGTACTGCTAATGGTGCCAACAGGAACTGCAGCTTTCAATATTTGAGCTGTAACTATTCATGCTACTTCCAAAGAACTTGAAAGTATGTGTGAAGTTATATGTTGTCAAATGCAGCACCCTCAGAGTGAAGCTTGCACACTTAAAAATAATCATTATTGATGAAGTGTCATTTGGGGGGGTATATGCTATTATACATTCACAAGTAGTTGCAACAAATAAAATACTCAAATAACTATTTGTAATGTAACAATTGACTCTGTGATCTTTACAAGATTCCTCTTGTTTGTCAACATTTTATTTTCAATCTACCAACTGTTCACTTTGAATGCTTATCAGGATCCACCTGGAAAAGTCACAGAATCAACTGTACCAGAAAGAGGATCAACTTTTTGCTGCTTTTTTAAACATAATATGGAAAGCAACTCGCATTAAAGGCAACATACAAATTTTGAAGAACCAAATTCAGCAAGTAACTGACCCACAATATAAGTCCACTGCTTTGCATATATTTACTATAAATAGAGTTGTTGACATCCACAATGAACTATCTTGGAAAATATATTGTAATTTTACATGTAAAAGACACTAGGTCTGCTTGCTTGAAGGACTGGTGATATGTCTAGAACATTAACTGTGAGAATGCACGTGTGATGCTTATCAAAATCATAGATGTATGCAATGGTCTTGTTAATGGAACACAAGAAACTATTGTTGAATTTATACCTAAACCTCTACCAAACCAGAAAGTTGTTCTCATTGCATTTGATAAACCAGATCATCAGCAGCTACATCATGCAGTTTCAACTTATCTTAATTTATAAGGAATGCAATTTCAGTAACACGTTTAGATTTCAAATCCACCATTTCAAAAACAACAAGGATTGGAGATAACTGGGCATGTTTCATCTACAAGGTACAGGGAACTATTCTGGATAATAATGGTTATTTGCTGGACAAGCATATGTTGCACTCAGCAGATACAAAGCATTACAAGGACAGAAATTTATTGAAATTGACCCTTCTCGAAGTAAAGAAAACACACTAAAGAATATGATTCCCCCTAACAAACTGAAATCATGAGTTATTTGCTTCATTAACATATCGGGCAATAAGGGTTGAACACCTCAATGCCAATTTTCTGGTTCTACACTTCAAATGTGTGTTGTGAGATCCAGATTTACAGTACTCGCACATCCTGGCCTTTACAGAAACTTATCTGACAAGTCATATTAAAGACCAGTGCACTATCTCAAACTTAGATTTATGAAAGGATGGGATTCAAGGAAAATGTTCAATAGAATTGCAATGTATATTAGTAATTCACTAGCAAGCCATTAAATCCTAGAGATTTTGTGCTTCAATATTCTTAACAAATCTGCCTTGTCAACCAGAATTCTGTTACATTACCAGTCTCCAACGATGTCTAGAAAAGCATTTCTGTCTGACCTTCAGCTGTTACATATGACAATTTCTAATAGCCTAAAACCAAGCTAAATTGTAATTTAGATTTAGTAGTTAAATAAATGCCGATATATATATCCAGTTTATGATATTTGCTAACAAGATTGATACACACAGTTTTCTTTTTTAATACAAATATATTTTAATATACAAACAACAATACAATTTACAATAACAGCTATAGTCATTACGAACAATGATTTATATACAATAGAGTCACAAACTTACAAGTAATATAAAGTCTTCTTTCTAGTCTGGAACTTCCTTGACATCGAGGGTTGACGATGAGCGAGTTGACATAGGTATAATTCACTTAACAGGGAGCTAGCTAGCCCTGTAGTTCTCGCTGATCATATTCTGATTACAGGTCAAGTTTTCACCGATGATATTATATAATGTTTTCGTAAAAGTACCATTGTCCGATGTGAATCCCCTGAAGTTAAATGGTTTCTAATGTTCGAAATTTATAAACGTT